GCTGGGCGCCGGCAGCAGCGTCCTCTCCGTGCGCAACGCCTCACTGTCGTCTGCGGGGACCCGTGTGTGTGTGGGCTCCTGCGGGAACCTCACCTACCAGCACACCGTGCGACTCCTGGTGTTTGGTGAGCCCCCGCCCCTCCTCCTCTCGCAGCCTTTGCACCAGCCAGGCCCCCCCAGCAGCCCTGCTGTATCTGTTTCTGTGCCACCTCTGCCCGGGAGCCTTCCCAGATTGCCCACCCTGCTCCAGCTCAAACTGAAATGCAATCCACTTGGTTCTCCCACATCCCCCCTCCAGGCTCCCAGCCTTCACTCCCACACCCCCAACCTACCCCCAAACCTCCCATACCTGACCCCCAACACGCACTCTTTCTGCTCTGGACCCCCCTCCAGCATCTTTTTTACATTATAGCCACGCAAGGTGTGCCTACTGGGTCTTCCCTGTCTCTCTGCACCAGCAGTCCCTACTCCCTCCTGCTTGGTCCCAACTCATCACCCTCCTCAGAGCCCAGTGGTTCCCAAAAGGGCAATTTGATCTTTAAGGGGGGCAATTCGAGAATGGGTTATTAACAGTGAATTTTTTACATTTCTTATGGTGCTAGGGGCCTCATATACAGTGTATATATATATATATATATATATATATAGTGACATATTTATGCATTTCAGTTCTCTATTATGTTTTGAAACTTTATTTGCTATTTTTTCATATCACTTCATATTATTTTTTAATAATTTCTTAGAGATTTCTTCCTCAGTACTTCAACTGTCCTTTCATTCTTTTACTTTTCTCTTTCATGGATACCATGTTCTTTGGAAGCTTGTTTAGACCAAGTTAATGGCCTTTTAGGCTTCCTCCACAAGAATAGGGTTCACTTTTTGAATAAGAATTATATGTAACAGGAGGGGGGACATCAGGATTTTAGAGATGCTTAGGTGGGCCGTGGCCAAAAAAAAAGTTGGGAACCACTGCTCTAGGCTCAGCCCGTGCCCCTCCAAACCTCCCTACACAGCCTTCCCGAACCAGCTGACTGTCTCCCCAGTGGACCTGGTGGCCGGGCGGGACCAAGAGTTGGCCTGCACAGCCCACAACATCACGCCTGCCAGCCCTGATGTCCTCTCCTTGTCCCTGCTCCTGGGGGACCAGGAACTGGAGGGGGTGCAGGAGCTGGGCCTGGAGGA